ATCTCCACATATAGCAGTTGTCTTTGGATCTTGATGCATTTATCAAATCTTAATTTTCTTTGTTGGTGATGACACATTCTGCCTTGTTGAAGTTACTTTAAACCCTTGATCACATAATTGACTAATCCTAATTAGGTTTATAGTCAACCCTTCTACCAGTAACACATCATTAAGCCGAGGAGTCCTGACCTAGCTGTCCTGCTAATACCCCTGTTCATTCCTTTCCTTCTATCTCCAAATATTACATATCCTTGTAAGAATGGTTTGATTTCTTTGAGGAATGACTCTTCACATGTCATATACTTAGAACAACCAATATCAAAAAACTATTCATCCATATAAGATATTCCATTATAAGTTTGAGCTGTGAGAGCTTTGACTTTAACCTTGGGTTTCTATACTGTTTGAGCTTGCTTACCATTCCTTTTGGATCTTGGTTATCTGTAGGGTTGAGGATAACCATACATTCCGAAGCAATGGGGCCTTATGTGCCCATGTCTACCAAAAATTATGATTAAAATAAAATTGTGATTTAACTAGTGAGTGTCAGAACCATTAGTTCATTGACATGATTTTTTGTTTAAAGTTCTTTTGAATATTATTTGTATTTATTTTTAAGGGTTAAATATGTTTTTGATCCTCCGAAATGTCTCATATTTAACTTTTAGTCCCTCTAAAAATTTCCTTCAAATAATCGTCCTCCTAAAAGTTTTAATTTTAACTCTTGGTCCTTTATGCAACTTAGCGACAATTTTTACGAATTAACGATATAATTAGCAACAATTTTTATTTAGCGACTGAATTAACAATAACTTTAGCGACGATTTTGGCATGAGGGACACAAAATTAACATTATAATTCTTATGAGGACCATTGTTTAAAGGGAATTTTTAGAGGGACTAAAAGTAAATATGAGATATTTAGGAGGACCTAAAATATATTTAACCCTTTATTTAATTGTTTAACATGCCTCGGTCAATGCACATGTCCTAATTTTAGAGTTCGTGTTCACTATACTGCATAATATTTAGAGTGGTTTTACTGAGGTTGTGTTAATGTTATGCTTATGCATACTATATGATATTTATGATTTCTTGTGATGAGTTGCAGAGGAATAATTAGGATGACTTTATCCATTAGTTATGTTTTTCATTAGAAATTGGTTTTTTCAAAATGCTCTTGTGTTATTCTAAATTAATAACTTTGATTTTCTTGATGTTGATTTTATGGTGCAACACGGGCTGATGAATCATGATTGGTCTACTATGGCCGGTATCCTTTAAGTGCTTCATGTTATATGTATACATTTCAAGAAGGATTATGATCATGAATTTGTTAAAGTGTATTATGACTCTGTTAATTTTTGTCTTTTGTAATCCCCTTGAATTTGTTGGATGAGTGTTGGAGTTGTAACATTATTAGCATGAATATACTACACCTTAGTGATTTGGGTGTTATTGATCATGGAATCAGATCTCTTAGGCCTTTTCTCGAGTTACTATGCACTTTGGTTGACCGAAATGATTTTTTGGAAATTGGTTGGGACTACCTTGCTCTTATAAAGTGAACTCTTAAATTTATGTCTTATCAAGGTGTCTTAGAGGCTCTCCATTTTTATTGAGTCTGTTAGATGAAGAAACATATGGGATGCCTTTCATACATCTACAAAGACAACATATTTTCCTCTTATTTGATTGTTATATTAGCATAATCAGTCAAAGAGGATAAAAGGATATTCACATTGATTGTTCATCTTTAAGCTCATAATCCAGGTCTAAAGTTTGATAACTTTTGAATTAAAAGGGAATTACTAGAGCTTTACAAGTGGATTTAAGATAATCTTTTAAGTCAGACAAAACCAACTGAGTCAACACCACCCTCCTCAACTCAATCTCTCGCACATAAGAAGAAAACTTTAAAAAATGTTCTAAAACCTATTTTAAGTCAACGTTAATTAATTATATCTTTTGTGATTATTTTTTGATGTCATTTTGTAATCTTTTGATGTATCGAGACAAATATTCTTGTTGTAAAAGTTTGATGGAATTTTTTCAAAGTTCCATGTGATCATTTGTACAACATTATAATAGAGTTTAATGACATTAGAATTAGATTAGATTTTGGTGATATTTTGTACAACATTGCACTATATTTTGCTATCATTTAGTATCTTCTCGATATAATGCTAACATAGTGATTAAATTATAGAGATTCTAAACAAATGTATCAGTGTAGCATACTTACTCCAAACAAACATATATCAAAGTAACTGATAAACACCATAATTACTCCAACTAAAATATATCTAAATTTTACAGAGTTATTCCAAAACAATGTAAAAGATTTGCAAAGAAATTATTTCAACACAATTTTTTCTAAAAATAAATTTCGTTAGCTTCAAATAAGGTTTACAACAAACTTCCTGATAATAAACTATTTAAAACACATCGTTAATAATACTAAATTCACCCTAAACTAAAAAATGCAAACACCATAGACATTTTTAACCATCCTCTTATGTTAACAATCTCATTTTTCAATTTGAATATTTTTATTTTGCTTTTCAATATCTAGTTATCTTTCTTTAACAATTTCATCATCTAACCACTTAAAAAGATCACAACCCATAAACGATTAATTTTCATAACCAATCCATAATCATATATAATCCATATGTTATAACAGGTTATTAAAACCAATTGTCATAACCGATTTTCATTTTTTAAAATGGTTATAAACTAGTTATATTCATATTCTATTTTATAATTAATTTTGATTTAATTTTTTATAAAGATAATTTCCTTTCAAGAGTTTTTTTTTATTTCCGGAATTTTATCTTTTAAAAATAAAAAAAACATATTTTTATTTTAAAAATAAAAATTATTAAATTTTTTTAAAAAATAGTTTTTTTTTATTTCCAAAAAAATTAATTTTGCAAAAAATTCTTACATTTTTTATTTTATGAAGAAATAATTTTGTGAACAAATAAAAAATTTTAATTTTTTTATTTTCAAAAAATATTATTTTTCAAAAAAAAATCTTATTTCTAGTTTTTTAATTTTTGTTTCCATAAAGAAAAAATGTTAAAAAATTTTGTTCACATTTTTTAAGAAAATTATATTTATAAAAAATAATATTTTTTTTGCATTTTTTCAAGAAGTTCCCTAATTTGGTTTTTATTTTGGATATGGATATTCAAAAAAATAGATTTGGTTAAAATCATATTAATACAATATTTATATATGAATTTGGTTAAAATCTTACTAATAATTAATTGGTTTTTAATAATCGAATTTGAATATAGATATGAATAATATAGATAATCGATTAATTTGAGCATCTCTCAAAACTCTTATCCATGTGATTTATGTAATTTATACGATTTTTTTTTTTAAAGTTCAAATTGATCAGGTTCGTCACAATATGAAGAACATATTTCTATTAACAATAATATTCTATCCTCTCGTATCTTTTTAGTATAGATCAATGAGAATCAAAATTTTGATTGGTGGACTTTAAACCACTATTAAAAATCTTTGATAGTTTTAGGAAAAAAAAAGAAATAGAACTTGAGTAAGAACAAAGCTAGAAGCAAATTGGGGAACATCACGACTTATAATGAAACTTGAAAAAAAGTAAACTTGAAAAAAAAATAGAGAAGACAAAAGTGGATAATTTTAAAATTTGTTGAGGGAATCCTAAATCATAAGAAATATGATACGTTTGTTTCAAGTTATGAGATATGGTTCATTGGAAACATATTCTCAAGAATAAGATTCCTATTCATATGTTTTGCTAAAAATAAAATTTTCTGGAAATGTTTACACATTTTATTTGATTTAAAAATTATAAAAAATTAAAATAAATATTAATATGAATATTAGTGAGAAGTTGTTGTTGGTTAAATTTATTTCTATAGGAATGTTAGATTTCCATCCTTACAACATGAGAATAAATATGAGAAAAGTCATGTGTAAAATAATTCATAAGAATAAAAAGTATTTGAGAACAATTTTAAAAAACTTAAAACAAATACGATAATATTGTCTTCTCATGTCATATTCGTGAGAATATATTTTCTATCTCTGAAACAAACACATCCTTAATAATAAGTGGTTTGAAAGGAAATGAAAGAACACATTTTATAGAGGTTTTTTGACAAAAAAAATTATTGTAAATTTTATATGATATTATCTGCGTATCTGATATTTATCAAATATCGAATAAGACAAAAAAATATCCGCACTTTTAAAAAATAGAGAATTGTAAATTCAAAAATATATTCTTAACGTATTAAACATCATACCGATGTAACTTTTAATCATATGAGACAAAATTTCATTTTTAAAATGAATAATTTGAGGAAAACATGAGGGGATAGATCAATAAAAAGATGTATGAATAACAATTCCCTAATTTTTAATCAGTATTGAGCTAAGGCTTAACGCATCGGATCCGTATTGCTGTTAGGGGTGTGGATGATTTATAAACCGAACTAAATTGAACCAAATTTATGGTTTAGTTAAGTTCCAAAATCCATTTCAACAAAAACTAGTTATTTTTGTAAAACCAGTTTGGGTCTAATTCGGATTCACCGGTTTACAACACCCAACGACACCTGACAAAGAAAAGGAACAAAAAGAAGCTGCGGCACTTGAAGTCCAATACGTTTAACGCTAACTTGGTTAGATTCTCAAATTTAACTCTGCGGAAGTTTCAGAAAAGCGTTTGGGAATATTGAGAGGTTTGGGATTTTTTTTCTTCTTCTGATGCGAATAGTGTTCCTATTCTTCCCAGAACTGAAAATCACCTTTTCATTATGAAGTTTTATCCAAGGATTTGATCAGAATCGATATTTCTTAACTCAGATTTGATTTAGATCTTGAGAATAATTTGTTGAAATAAACGCTGATTTTGTTGAAATATCTTTAGTTAGAACTCGAATGTGGCGCTGTTCTTGAAGTTTGGGGTTTTGGAAAATATACAGTAACGGTTTCCACATGGAGGTTCCGCTTTACGAGACGCGACGCCACGCTTCCAGTTACCCTCCTCAACTCCATCTTCAACAAAATCAACAACACCAGGTCAGGGTTTCTTCAATTTTCTCTTTCAATTCTCATTCCCATTCACTCAATTCCATTGATCATCGTTCGATTTTAGGCGATTGATGATTCCAAGGGAACCTTGCTTTCTCTCCTCTCAGTTCGAGGTACCTACTTTTTTACTCTACCGAGCAAGTTCGTTATGGAATTTCGTTGATCTCGATTAAGTTTATCTGAATCTGATTCATCTATTGTTCATGCGGCCAAGGTGTGAGTCAACTCAAAGAGAAATGGACTGAATATAATGAACCAAAGAGACTTAGAAAATTAGTGTCGCTGTTTGTTTCCCCTACGGCCAAATACGTTGCTGTTGCTGCTGGAAATCGAATTACAATTCTGAGTAAAGAGGATGATTATCAGCAATCGTATGCAATTTTCACCGGTAAGTTCTTCTTAGGAATCCTAGATGTGATTATAATTGCTTTCATTTTGAAATTGAAAACAATTTGATTCTGATGTTGATTGGTGTTTGTTAGGTTCTGATTTTGGTACATTTACTGTGGGAGCTTGGTCTGAAGATGATGAAATTCTTGGTGTTGCTGATGACTATGATACTCTGTACTTTATTAAATTCAATGGTGAAGTTGTGGCAGAAATTACAAAGAAGCATTTGAAAATCTCTTCACCAATTGTTGGTTTATTTTCCGACACCGACTCAGATATGCACGGGTCTTATTTGTAAGTAATTTTCTTTTCGGTGCCTCCTTTGTTTCTGCTATGCTATATCGAATATTTGTGACGTCGGTTTTTCAGTGATCTTGAAATTATGTCCATGCTGTCATAATTTGGTAAACTCACACAGTTAAAAATAATTGAGTATAAGTTTAAAGTATTGCCATTGTTTGGGGTGTAGGTTCACTGCCATTACATCAGATGGCTCACTTCAACAAATTGAGATCAGTTATGGACAAGGCATTTCTACCTTTCCTAAGTACGTCCTTAATCACAGGAATCATCTCCGTAACAACGTTTTTTGCTTTGACCAGCACCATGAACTTAACCTTTTTGTGGCTGTTCACACAATGTCTGGTATGCATGCTTTTTGGATTATTTTCTCACTTATTTGCAAATTTATAAATTTATGCAATGGTAGACTCTGAATTTAAGACGTATATCGTGTAATATCATGTAACATACAAATATATAAATTTTCTACAAAAAATAAACTAATTAAAGGCATGTAGATACTTTAGAAGTGATAGTAATTTTTTTCTCTATTTTGTTTTACTTTGAAAACAGAATATTTCTTGTGGACATATGAGTGGTCATATTCACTGATTTCATGTCTTATAAGTTATAACAAACATGGAAATCTTTATTTTTATTTTGATAACTGACAAGGAGTAATTCATTACTGAACTTGTATTGTGTGATCACAATTTAAATTTCATACACTCCTTAGTCCTTACCCTTTTCTTTTGTACCTCTTCTATTATATTCTCTAATCTTTTGCTTCTTTTATCAATATCTTATTCTTAGAACATGAAGAATAGACTGTAGATCTCACAAGTCATTTATTTGCTAAATATTGTTTCTCCGGTTCTTTGCTAACTAGTTTTGTATATATCTTCTAGGATCTTGCCTTCTTTCTCTTTGGCATAAAAATTCAAGCTCAGAACTGGAACAGGTATTTTCTTTGCAGTTCGAGGGATTATATTCGAAACCAAAAGGTTATAGAGGTCAGCTAATATATCCAAAGTTGCTAATCTCGCCACAAGCTACATTCATCGCTACTCTGGATTTGACAGGATGCTTGCATATTTTCAAGCTGGACAAAGAAGGCTTGACACTATCCCGGTTTGTCTTGGGAGAGAAGGATGATTCATTAATGTCTGATAATTTATCGAATGGGGGTAATAAATCTTTTTGGGGTTTTATGGATTTTACTTGGTGGTGCGACCATGTCATTGCTACTGTAGATAGGAATGGGGTGGTTATGTTGATAGACATTCTAAATGGTTCAAAGGTCCAGGAAGAGGATCCTGCACATTTTTTCCCCGCTCTGGGAAGAGCGCAGAAATGTAAGGGCTATCTTTTTCTTTTAGCAAGTTTATCATCCAAAGAAAGATCCAGTCCTGATTTTGGATTTCCAGAGGAGTTGTGCCAGACAGAGTGGATTGTTGAAGACAGGCTTAAACAGTTTCACCTTTCTAGGTTGCTCTGGTTCCTTGTTTCATTTTCTAAGAAATCTATCCCTGAAATGTATGGTCTACTGATTGGGAAGAGAAGTTATCAAGCTGCTCTGAACTTTGCCGACAGTCATGGATTGGATAAGGATGAAGTTCTGAAGTCACAGTGGTTGAATTCTAGCCAAGGAGTAAATGAAATTAGTATGTTTTTGGCAAATATAAAGGATAAAAAATTTGTACTTTCAGAATGTGTTCATAGAGTTGGACCAACAGAAGATGCTGTGAAGGCTTTGTTGGCTTATGGTCTACGCATCACTGACCATCATAGATTCTCAGAAGTAGATGATGATGATTCTAGTCATGTATGGGATGTTCGCTTGGCTAGACTTCAAATTTTGCAATTTAGGGACAGGCTGGAAACATTTCTTGGAATAAACATGGGCAGGTATCCTGAGAGTTCTATATATATATATTTCGATAACATAAACTACTCATTTTCTATGCTTTTGCTGTGATATTTTTAGTTGTTCTAATATATTTTACTTTTGAAAGTCATACTTAAAAATTGAAAAGGACCAGTAAGTCAAAGAGAAGAAATTACAATGAGTTAGAGAATAAGAAATCCTTTTAGACAATAAAAATACAAAGCTCCAAGGAAAAAAAAGGAGAACATCATTCAAGCAATGTTGCCCAATACCCCAATATATTTGTTGGGAGACCCTTTTAAAATCTGCACTACATAGATGTAAGCCATGAACTCAACCTTGTCCCAGTTCCTAGGCAGTAAAAACATGCTTAAAGATATGAGATATCATCCTACCATATGCATCATATTGCTGTGCATGGATTGCAAATCGCCTCTAGACTGTTCCCTCTTTACTTCTATCATAATCATCAAAGATAGTAATCACAATTGGTTCAAGGACATGCATCACATTTAGCTTTGACCAAAAATTTCAAAACAGAGTTCAAGTGAGACACAAAAGCTTCATTGTAAGATGACACGAGGAACCAGTTTTAAACTAGCACCACATAAATCATAGATAAGGGTAAAGCTCACATGGTACTTCAAGTAGGTTTTGGATCACTTTAGTTTGACTTTATCCTTTTGGTTGCTTACTTTCTTCACTCTTATTGGTTTTAGTTTCATGTCAACTTTATTAAGCCTTAGGATTCTAATGCTGCACTCTAGTAATAATTTCATTATAATATGCATTATAGATTTTTGTAATATGTCATATTGTTGTCAGCAAGATAAGTAGCATTTATACAATTTGTTCATTCCAAGGGGATGGAATATTGATAAAATGGCCAAGCTGGTTAAATACACCACCTTTTATTTACTCATTCTGTTTTTACTACATGTAGACACATATACAAGGAAACTATCAGTCCTTTAACTATACAAAATATTGACATATATAATATATTATGTATTTTAAAATCTTAATGATAGAATATTCTTGAAACTTCATGGCTGTGATAGTAATAATTGAAACTAACAATTCTCTGTCAATTTCTTTTGGGTGAACCATAGCTTTTGAGCAAGACCTACAGGCATATACTTAGTCAATTAAATGGCTACAAATGATAGAATTTTGAAAATTCACAATTGTTCAATAATTCTGATAGTTTCCACTGACTCAAACTTCATTGACACAGTTTTCTGCAGATTTTCTGTGCAGGAATACAGCAAATTCCGTATTATGCCTATTAATGAAGCTGCTGTAGCACTTGCAGAAAGTGGAAAAATTGGTGCATTGAACTTGCTTTTCAAGCGTCATCCTTATTCTTTGTCTCCCTTTGTTTTGGATGTTTTAGCCTCCATCCCAGAAACAGTTCCTGTCCAAATTTATGGTCAGCTTCTTCCTGGGAGGTCTTTTCCTTCTGGTGTTGCTGTGAGGCAAGATGATTGGGTTGAATGCACGAAGATGGTGGGCTTCATTAGTACACCAGTTAAATACGATGACATTCAAATCCAAATCAAAACTGAGCCACTTGTTAAGCATTTTGTTGGACTTCTTTGGCCATCAATTGATGAGCTCTCAAAATGGTATATTGATAGAGCTAGAGCTATAGATGATTTTAGTGGGCAGCTTGATAATTGCCTGAGCTTACTTGAGTTTGCTCTTCGTAAAGGCATATCTGAGTTGCAGCAGTTCCATCAGGATGTCTTATACTTGCATCAAGTTATTTACTCTGATGACAATGATAGCGAAACGGGCTTACGTATGAGTCTTGTCATGTGGGGAGAGTTGCCAGACTATGAAAGATTTAAATTTATGCTTAAGGGAGTCAAAGAGGAAAGTGTAACTGAAAGATTACACAACAGAGCTATTCCATTTATGCGTGAAAAGTTTCACAGGGTGTCCTTATTTGGAGATGGCACCCGTAGTACAAATCAAAGTATAGAGGAATCATTTCTAGTAAGATGGTTGAAGGAAATTGCTTTGCAGAATAAATTGGACATGTGCTTGGTGGTAATTGAGGAAGGGTGCAGAAACTTCCAAAGCAATGTCTATTTTGAAACTGAAGTTGAGGCTATTGATTGTGCTTTGCAATGCATATATTTGTGCACAATTACAGATAGGTGGAGCATCATGGCAGCCATACTATCTAAGCTTCCTCAAATGCACGGTGAGTTTGGCTTCATGTTTATTTTAATATCTCAACAGCAATATAATGATGTAATTTTAGTAATTTCTTGGGGGTGGTCTATTGAACTTGTTAACATTCCAGAGCTTCACTACAATACTAGAAAAAGTAATATTACAGGGGCAAAACTATAAGCTGGGAGGTTTACGAAAGCATATAAATTTAAGAGGGCATCATATTTTTAACAAATCATTCTTTATCAGGAACAAACTAAAATAATTCTCGAAGAGGGATGTCTGGGGGTGTTCTCTCAAAGATTAGTCCTACCTTGGAATTTTCTTGGATGAGAATGTGTAGAAATCTTAACAGCTGCATTCAGACCAGTGGATTATTATAGTAGCCATTTGTCATACTTGGTTGGGGATATTTTCTACATAATATATTTGCAGCAATAAACTTAGTTAGCATGTGATTTGGTCTGTAAATAATTGGAATTTGGAATCTCTTACACCCCTTCCCTTAAATAATTAAAACTTAGGAGTTCATGTTGTAAAATTTTCTAGTTTTGAAAACTCACTAGACAAAACCAGACCAGCGATTAATTAATTCAATGCATCGTAAACTGATTGAAACTAGTACCAAACAGAATTTAATTGAACAATACAATAACTTTATCTATAACAGTCTTAAGAGAATGATTCTCGATCAGAATATTTAACACACAGTACAAGTATGAAAGAAAGATTACAAGGAAATAAGGCATAGAAGGACGAGGAATGAGAAGAAGAAAGCTGTGCATGAAGGAAGGAGACAAATGAAGGAGAAAGATGTGTTCTGTTGCTCAAAAGGATGAGGAAGCAAATAAGGTTTGAGGAAAATCCATAATTACCCTTCATAATAGTTTAAAATTTAAGGGCAATTTTGGTTTTTCGGGGGTTGAAAGTGAAACCGAGTTAAAACCTGCTCCGGGAAATGGCCAATTGCGCCTGCAATGCTGAATTGCGCCGCTATTCCTTCTCCCTTCGCGGCTGGCCATTGCGCCGCGCCGCTATTGGCCGTCATTGACTTCTATGATAGTACCCAGTTACGTCCCAAGTTTTCAAGAGCTTGGTCTCTCTCCCAATAACCACTCTATAACTTGGCAACCAACAATGTCTTGCCCTTTGCCTATATATTCTTACTAATAAACAACACACACGTTTGACAACCATAACTAATCAATAAAAACTATAACTGTCACTTAAAAAACATAACTGCTACAAAACTGACTAAAATCAGTTTTCGTTAATGAGAGGTCTAGCATAAGCACATTATGAGATCATTGTTAACCACTTGTCTATAAAGATGTTTCTTCTTTCTAGTACATATAACCTACCTGCTTACCAACACCTTCATTTCAGATTCTCATGATTTAATTCGTTATTATCCTTACATAACATCTAACCTACCTGCTTACCACCAGCAAGGAATTTTTTCTTGAGCCTACAACGCATGCCTTGCAAGCTCTGAAGTGTCTTTGGCTTGATGCTTCTTTTAGGGAGCATGTTGGTGAAGGAAGTGTTCTGAAGCTGACACCTATTATAGGGAAAATGTGCAAATTCGTTACAATTAAGGTGGCTTTATTTCTGTCCGAAGTGAGACATATAATAGTGTGCAGAATAATTGACTAATTAACCATGAGGATGGCAACAGAGAAGAAAGTGGTGAATGGATCTTTGTATATTCATCAATGGGATCCAGGTGGCATCATCCTAAATAGGGATATACTACACAATGCCGCCAGTACTTATTCTCTACAATTTTGGGATCTAAGTGGCAAGAATAAACATGAGTATGTTGAAGAGAAAAGGGAAATCAATGCATGTTATCAAAGTATTACACTTACAAAGAGAATATAGTAGATCTCAACCTTGAGGACAAGGTTTCTTTGAGGAGGGGTGTATTGTTAGGATGTAGAGTCGTGGTTAGTTAGAGTAGTTAAAGCAGGGTTGTTATAGAAGTTAGTTAGTTTATTAGTAGTTGAGGTGATTATTAGGCTACTTGTATAAATAGGAGAATACAATGTAGAGTTGATATTATTCAATATTGTAAATCATTTGTGAATAGAGTAGCAACTCTATTGTGAAGGGGAAACCCCTGAGGAGAGCTTGCTCTCATGTTATTTCATATTCTAATAAAGACGGTTCTTTCTTTGGAATCCAATTCTTGGGCTCCTAACAGATTCAATTAGGTTCTCGTTAGTAAAGTGTGTGTGAAATATAGGCTCAGTTTGTAAACTCTCAAATTTAGTTCGGTTAGTTTCCGTGCAGTTCAGGTTGGTTCTGCAGTTCGGCAGTTATTTCGAGCAGTCCTATGTTTAACTTTGTTGTTGAGCTGGAGTGTGTATAATTTGAATCCCAATCTCTAAAGCTTACCCAGATAGATGCTGCTTGTGTTCTGTGTAATTTGCACGCATTGTTGAGTAAATGCTTGAGGATATTGTTGATTCAGTTGCATTTTCTATCTAACAATTTTGAGTACTCTAAAATATGTATTATTGTGCAGATGGTGCAATTCAAGTTGAGACTCTTGAGAGAAGACTTAGAGTTGCTGAAAGTCATATTGAAGCAGGGAGACTTTTGGCATTTTACCAGGTCGTTAGTTTCTCCTGTGACAATCAAACTTGTATGCCTTGTGTTGTTCATATAGGGGATCTTTTAAATCTTTCAATTTAATGGTGAAAATGATAATGAAAGTGACTATAGTTACAATTTGTGTGTTACTATAATTTGGTCTGCATTACTTTTATTTTGCATTGTTTCCCTCCTCTATTTAGCAACATGATTCTAAAAATCCTGTAATTGCTTTTTAGCCATGTTGTGTTTACTATGTTATCTTTATGTTCTATGCAGGTTCCGAAGCCATTAAACTTTTTCCTAGGGGCTCAATCAGATGAAAAGGGTGTGAAACAGATTATTCGCCTTATTCTTTCTAAATTTATTCGCCGTCAGCCTGGCCGATCAGATAGTGAATGGGCCAGCATGTGGCGTGATATGCAGTACTTGCGGGAAAAGGCATTTCCTTTTCTGGACCTAGAATATATTTTGATTGAGTTTTGCAGAGGACTGCTTAAAGCTGGGAAGTTTTCTCTTGCACGTAATTACTTGAAGGGTACAAGTTCCGTTTTGTTAGCATCAGAGAAGGCAGAAAACCTTGTCATTCAAGCAGCTAGGGAGTACTTTTTCTCAGCTTCAAGTATTTCTTGTTCCGAAGTAAGATTTGGGTGTATCATCTAATATTTGAATTTGTTCATGGAAAACGCATCCTTCATCATTTTAACAAGCACTAATTCATAATTTACCTCATAATGCAATCATATTGAAGTTTTCTTTAAGAGACTCTGTTTATGCTAACTAACGTAACCTAATCTCAACCACATGATTTGATTAATCATGTTTCTCTTTTTTCCTCTAGGTCTGGAAAGCTAAAGAATGTCTTAATCTATATCCAAGTAGTGGAAATGTGAAGGCAGAGGCGGATATTATTGATGCACTCACAGTTAAGCTTCCAAACCTTGGGGTGAATATTCTGCCCATGCAATTCAGGCAAATAAAAGATCCTATGGAAATTGTAAAAATGGCAATCACAAATCAAACTGGAGCATATTTTCATGTTGAGGAGCTTGTTGAGGTTGCCAGACTTCTTGGCTTGAGGTCTGCTGATGATGTATCAGCTGTTGAAGAAGCTATTGCTAGAGAAGCTGCAGTTTCTGGGGATTTACAATTGGCATCTGATCTTTGTCTTGTTTTGGCCAGAAAAGGACATGGCAACATATGGGATTTATGTGCTGCAATTGCAAGAGGTCCTGCCCTTGAAAATATGGAAGTAGATTCTCGAAAGCAGCTATTAGGGTTCGCGTTGAGCCACTGTGATGAGGAATCCATCGGTGAGCTTCTCCATGCATGGAAAGACCTGGATATGCAAGGCCAGTGTGAAACATTAATCATGTCAACTGGGACAAATCCTTCAAATTTTTCAGTGCAAGGCTCAACTGTTGAGTCAATTCATAAACAAAGTTTTCAAAATATACTAGATCGAAATGTGCATTTTCAAGAGTTCGATGGTTATAGCACTGACAATCAGGATGTCCACCTTGAGAAAATTAGAGAAAAGCTTTCCATTGTTGCTAAAACCTTGGCTGCGGGCAATCAAACTGATTGGGCGTCAGGCTTGACTGAAAATGGGAAAGTTCTGTCTTTTGCTGCCTTACAGCTCCCTTGGTTGATTGAATTGAGTAGGAATGGATATCCTAGTGAAAAATTGAGTACTAGAAAGCAGTATTTAAACATCAAAGCACAGGCTGTGGTGACTATTCTGTCCTGGTTGGCTAGAAATGGTTTTGCCCCCAGAGACAACTTGATCGCCTCTTTAGCAAGATCTGTTATGGAACCTCCAGTCACTGAAGAGGAAGATATAATCGGGTGCTCCTATCTTCTCAATCTTGCGGATGCTTTTAACGGGGTGGAAGTTATAGAAGAACGGCTCAAAATAAGAAAAGACTACCAAGAAATTTGTAGCATTATGAATGTTGGGATGGCATATAGCTTGCTACACAACTCAGGAGTAGGTAGTGACCATATTCAGCGAAAGCAGCTATTGAAGAGGAGGTTCAAGGAAAAACACACAACACCCAGTTCTGGTACTAGGCTTTTCTGTTATTTTCTTCTCCTTATACATTTATGATGTAGTGGTTCCCCGGTTACATTATTTTTGCCTTATTATGCTGTGTCTATTTGAAATGTTGTTTGTTTATCATGCTTGTATTGATCGTGGACTTGATCATACTGACAAAGACCTTGTTTGATTTTTTTCCAGACGATATAGATAAACTTGGCAAGGTACAGTCTTCTTTCTGGAGAGAGTGGAAACTAAAGTTAGAAGAGCAAAAGAGATTCGCTGAGCATTCTAGAGCTCTACAGAAAATAATTCCTGGGGTTGAAACAGAGCGCTTTTTGTCCAGGGATTCCATCTACATTGAGAATGTTGTTATCTCTCTTATTGAGTCTGTAAAGTTAGAAAAAAGGCATATTTTGAAGGACGCTTTAAGATTGGCTGATACATATGACTTGAACAGTACTGAGGTATGATATGAGCACTTGCACGAATTTGTTTGAAACATAAATCTTTAAAGAAAATTGCATTGATTTAGATGAAACCTTTTGTCTTAATCTCTTGGCTCATTGACAATTTTGTCAAACAGTCAAAGTTCTGTACTTTGACCTTTGTAGTCTCTCTTAAATTTTCAGTGTCAAATAGCATTGTTTTTAAGTATCAAGTAGTTATAAATATCTATTTTGTCGTCCATGTTTCATAAGCAATGAACTTTCACATGAAGGGGGTATTGAGTTGTACAGGTGAATTTCATGTCCATGTTTAAGTGCTTATACCATTAAGTCAATAAGTTCTTTGGACAAAAGGCATACATATTGACGAGACCTCATTGTTTCATTGTTTTTGTGCAGGTGCTATTGCATTTCCTAAGTGCTGTCCTTGTTTCTGATGTTTGGACAAATGATGAAATTACAGCCGAAGTTGCAAGTTATAAAGGAGAAATAATTGGTAATGGTGTGAAAACCATTGAAACCATCTCAACAAAGGTTTATCCAGCAATCAACGGGTGCAGCAAACTTCGCCTTGCCTATGTGTTTGGTTTGTTGTCAGAGTGCTACTTGCAGCTGGAAAATACCAAAGATTTATCACCAATAGCACAACCTGATCACACAAATGGAAATATAAGGTTTGCTCATTATTACAAGGTCGTTGAGCAAGAATGTAAAGATGTTTCCTTTATCAATAACCTTAACTTCAAAAATATAGCCGGGTTGCGTGGTTTGAACTTTGAGTGCTTTAGTGATGAAGTTTATGCATGCATTGAGGAAAGTAGTTTGTCTGCATTGTCAAAAATGATACAAGCTTTTGTTGATATTTATGGTCATTCATTGCCTGAGGGTTTTATGTCATGGCAGGATGTCTACAAGTATTACATCCTGAGTTCGCTGAGTGATTTGGAGGCTAAAGCAACAACTGACTTTAGTAGTAGAACTCCTGAATGCCTTCAAAGCTTTTTAAATAAGCTTGAGCAGAGCTATGATTCTTGCCGAAAGTATATTAGACTTTTGAGCCAGTCTGATGCTTTGACGATCATGAAGCAGTACCTCACTGTAATTGTGCCTCTCCATAATTCATATGGATTCATACCTGACAATTCAACTTGGCAAGAGTGCCTCATTGTTCTTTTGAACTTTTGGATGGGATTGACAGATGATATGAAGGAATTTTCATTGGAGGAAAATTCAGGAGAGACTAATAGCTTCAACCCGCAATGTTTAACGAGTTGTCTAAAAGTATTTATGAAATTGGTGATGGAGGATATCATCTCCCCTAGTCAGGGCTGGGGCAGCATATATAGCTACGTCAACTGTGGCTTAAATGGTGATTGCTCTGTAGAAATTTATAATTTCTCCAAAGCTATGGTTTTTTCTGGTTGTGGGTTTGGTGCCATCTCAGAGGTATTTTCTGTTGCTTCATTGGAAACTGGTTCATCTTCTGATTGTGGCTCAGGTTCCCAGGATCTTGCTCATTTCTATTTAGATATTCTTGAAGCTGTTCTGCAAGAATTGGTCAATGGATCCCATGAGAGCCAGAACCTGTATCACATATTGTCATCTTTAAGCAAGCTAGAAGGTGACTTGAAAGTCTTGCAATGTGTTAGACATGTAATTTGGGGGGAAATGGTCCAGTTCTCTGACAATTTACAGTTGCCAAGTTCCATTAGAGTTTATGTGCTAGAGCTTATGCAATTTATCTCAGGAAAGAATATTAAGGGTTTCTCTACAGAAATACTAGCCAATGTCCAACCATGGGAAGAATGGGATGAACTGCTTTATGCTAGTAGAAAGAGTGAGGCTGGTGTTGACAAGCAGTCACCAGATCACAAAGAAACCTCTAGTAGGTTTACAAATACTTTGGTTGCCCTTAAATCATCTCAACTTGTGACATCAATCTCTCCTAGCATAGAAATTACCCCTGATGATTTACTGAATGTAGACACGGCTGTTTCTTGCTTTTTGAGGTTGTGTGGAGAAGCTATTGAGAATCTCCACTTTGATGCATTGGTTTCTATTTTGGAAGAGTGGGAGGGACTTTTCACCATGGGGAAAGACGGAGAAATCACCACTGAAGCATCTGATGGAGGAAATGACTGGAACAATGATGATTGGGACGAAGGGTGGGAAAGTCTGGAGGAAGTAGACAAGCCTGAGAAAGAAAAGATTGATGACTCTGTTTCTGTTCACCCTTTACATGTATGTTGGGCAGAGATTTTAAAAAAATTCATAGGCCTGTCGAGGTCTAGTGATGTACTGAGAATGATTGATCTATCATCATCAAAAACTAATGGTATGTTACTTGATGAAGATGATGCCAGGAGCTTAAATGAGATAGCATTAAGCACAGATTGCTTTCTGGCTTTGAAGATGGCACTCATGCTACCCTACAAAACATTACAGTTTCAGTGCCTGAGTGCAGTTGAGGATAGTATAAAACAGGGTATCCCTCATACGAGGAGCAATGATTGTGAGTTATTAATTCTGATTTTATCTTCTGGGATTCTCACTTCTGTTGCGACTGGTTCTACATATGGTACTACTTTCTCTTATCTCTGCTATATGGTTGGAAACTTATCCAATCAAGTTCAACAAGCTCTGATATCAAGTAGAGGGTTTACCAATAATGAAGATCATGAGAATCAGTTTTTCCGAAGAATCCTTTTCCCTTATTTCATTTCAGAACTTGTGAAGGCTGATCAACATGTTCTAGCTGGATTTATTGTCACAAAATTTATGCACACTAGCGAGTCGCTCAGTCTCATTAACATTGCTAATGTTAGTCTTAATAGGTATCTGGAAAGGCAGCTCCACATGCTGCAGACAAATGAGCTCCATGTTGAGATGGAATGTAAAACATTGAGAAATACTGTTAGCAGATTGAGAGGCAGACTGAGTAATTTGATTCAGTCCACATTGCCATTGCTTTCGGCCAATGTAAGTTAATAGAAATTTCAATTAGACCAGTTGCCCCTTTTTGTGACTCCTTTAAGCATATTGTTTTAAGGGTTGCATGTAAGAGTTTTGTCAATTACTATTTGCATAGAGACTTTAGTTTGAAAGGTTGGGTTTTGAGGGTTCAGAAGAAAAGCTAGAATGTTCAGGTTTTCATTCATACATGTATAGGTTTTAAAATGTATTTGTCCCATGTATTTCTTGCCCTTTCTTTCTTTCTTTTTCACGTTTGCTTTGGGCAATTAAAGACGTCTTCCAAGTTAGCTTTGGGACTTGTGTACATTAACGGTAGAAAATTAAATTTATCTTTTACTTTTTTAGATGAATTCAGGAACCTATCAAAATCTATGCCCAACAAACAAATTTAAATAAATAAGTGTACACATCAATTCAGCATCGAGTATTACAAGCCGATAATCAATGCAGTATTGAATTTTACGAATCTGTACCTGCTCCATTTTGTGTTTTCTCCAATTATCATGATCATTACAAAAATTTATTTGGTTGGATTTTAAATCTGAAAATCGACATTTGTTCCATAGAAAACAAAGAGAAATAAGTTTAAAGAACCACACGTTTTGACACCCCTTGGTCTGCCTTAACATCGCCGTCATCGCAGTCATTATATCTACGGGTGTGCATGGTTGTTGGTGAATTTTAGTAACCAACTCATTCATATATAGATCATTAAATGAGTTACGATTTATAATCATAATCACATTTATCAAAACCGACTATGAAATAGATTATAAATTTGATTATGGTTACTATCTGTTATTTTTTTTTAAAATCCAATTTTAATTTGGTTATCTCGAAACCATTTTTGAATCGGTTATTTGTAAATTTGACTAAAAAAATCATTTTTAAAAAATTAAAAATGGTTATTTATTAAAATTGAGTTTTAAGGTCAAATTTTACAAAAATAAAATCACATTATTAACAAATAAAAATTGATTTAAGTAATTATGATGTTACAAATGATTTAAAATAATTAAATTATATATAGGTTACGCTAAGCTAGACTTTAGAAGACCCGAACCTGGCTTACTATAAACTTACAAGGCTCGAGTCTGACCTAGATTTTAGAAGGCCTGAGTCTGACCTATAGCCTGCTATAAATTCTTTTTTTTTGTCTGACCTAACCTTTTTATTAGTCTGATCTGGCTTGAAAGCCTATTTAAAAAAATATTTTTTATTAAGATTTCAATTAATTCATATTACCTAAGAAGCCTTATAGGTCGGTCTATATATGCATATATAGGTGGACTTATTTAGTATTTTTCTAATATATATGCATATGTAGGTTAGTCTATTTAGTATTTTTCTAATATATATGCATATGTAGGTTAGTCTATTTAGTATTTTTTTTATAATATATATATATATATATATATATATATATATATATATATATATATATATATATATATATATATATATATATATATATATATATATATATATATATATATATATATATATATATATCAATCTATTTAGATTATTTTTAATATATATAGATCGGTCTATAAGGTTTCAAAGACTTTTTTAGTAGTCTAAGTCTGACTTATTTAATTAAATAGGCTTTTAAAAAAGTCTAGTCTGATATTTTTATTAAATAAGTCTGATATACTCTGGCCTCAAATTGATTAGGTCATAGGTCCCTGTAGGCTAGCTCGGTCTATTCCCATCCCTAATGGAGAAGGGTTGATCTATGAGATTATCAGTAACACTCGAGTGAGTAAAGGAGTAAGAAATGAAATTTCAATTATAAAGAGATTTGATAATTTGAAAATGGCGTGATCATTCCTTTAAATAGAAGAACTAGTTAACAATATAATGTATGTGTAATCGTAAAATGCGGCCGATTGTTAGAAGAATCTGGACGCTAAGAATATTCGGCGTGTAAGTTTACATATGAGGTTTGGAAAAATAAGATCCATATATTCCTTGCCTTGTTGTTTTGATCTTTATCAATATTGGGTTTTAGTGCTTTTTTGGGCTTTACGAACGGTTCAGAACAATTATCCCTAAGCCCTTATTTCTACTCTGCAGGAAGAAAGTTTGTAATGAGCGACATTTGTTCGACCACAAAGTCGTAGAAATAATCGTTTTTCGATGAGACCTCACCTTTCTTGAGAATAAGTACATTCAAACACCACCCCATGTGGTACTTCATGACGCTGGGAACAAATGACACGTACTCCTACTTTAATTAGTAATGATGTTTCTCCCCTGTTTAGGGTGCTTGAGTATCTTCTGAATTTTTTGGATGAATCTTCACCATTGATAGTGCAGAGTGATCATAAGATCTTTAGCATTTTAAAAAGGGAACTTAAGGTTCTCGAAGTGTCATTATTTCCCTTTTGAAAGTCGTTGGCTGTGCATAAGAAAACACTTTTGCTCTTTTCATTTCTCTCTTAAATATATATTTGCACCAATGACAGTTCAAGCTAAGGAGATTTTTCTTGTACATTTCATCTTCGTGTCTTTGATTTTCATGATGCTTCTAAGTTTCAATATTCGATCCTTCCGCTTTCGCTCTTTTTTGACATGTTTTAGGGTTTCTGGGGCTGTGAATGTTTAAGTTTGTTCGCCATCTTCGCTGCACCTCTATTGGCTTTCTACTGTTTTTAACCATGGTTATCACATCTATTTCAACCAAGGAGATCGATAAAGATATTTCACGAGTTTTCATAACTTTAGAAATATTAGAAGTTGCTTCTGTCTTTTCTCATGACGATGCCTTCGCTCAAGCAGTAATCGCCGTTGGTTCATCAGAAGACTAGGGTGTGTTTCCTCTAGACGAGGATAAAAGGATTTGTAGTCCGTGCATGGGGTGCATGATTCTATTCCATGAGTTCTTATTTTCTCTCATTAGTTATCATATTCCCTTTAATGAGTTTGAAGTTGGTGTCTTAAACTATCTGCTCATTACCTTTCTTAGTTCCACCCTGTGAGTTAGGCGTTTGTCAAATTTTCTCAACACTAGTGTGAATACAAGGGGAGTAAGTCAATTGTGACATTGTTTTCCACCTCTTCAAGGTAGAAAGAGGTGATAAGTCTGCAAATGGATCCGACCTTCTTTCCTTAAGACAAAGTGTCAAATATTTTGACACTTACTCTGATAGTGTGAAGCATTTCAAGGATCCCTTCGTCCTAGTTGCATGCCTCCTCTACTTGTATAGACTTTTTTCATATGTATTGGACTCATAGTCACTTCTTAACCGAGATGTACTGCTACCAGAGGAAGACTTGTCAAAGGAATAATTATACATGAAAACTCAGTTGGTGGCCTTCTATCAAGAACTTGGTTATGTTAGAGGGGTTGCTCCATTTGATTTGGCCTCCAGAACTCGGTTGAAGAGGTGCATACAAACCCGTTGGCTAGTGGACATGGAATTCGAGATAGAAAGGAAGAAAATCTTTGGTGAGTAGCCATGGATTCAAACCCACCTATTTCTTTCCTCTTCACTTTCTCTAATTTCTCCCTTGGTTTTGCATATGCCTTGAATAGTGAATATGCCATGCAAAATTTATGGAAGGAAATCCAGAATGTCGATCCTTCGGTTGAAATTGTAAACACACTTTCTGTCAGGGGAGTTTCAACTTCAGACACCCTTGGAGGGATCCCTTTTGGCCTGGTTGTCGGACATATCTTGTAATCTACCTCTCCTCATGCTAGAGATGAGATCTGAGCTTCTCCTGAGCGTGTTATGGTAGAATAAACTCTTCCAATTCCTCATCTGGGAAGAGAGGAAAGGTTAAACTCCATTGTCGAGTTATAATAGGTTTGAATGATGATCCTCTTCGTAAGCATCTCCATCATAAGTCCACAAGTTATCGATTCTATGTGCGAACTAATATAAGCTCTGTATTGTTGGAGCATCTAGAGCCGAGGACAGATATGGAGTTTTGCACCTCGGTGTCTGATGAAGATTATTTCGACTTCTCGGGGCCCTCTGACAAAGCCCGTCAAAGGAAACTGGAGAAATTGGCATATCAAGTTCTTTAAGCATCAACTGTTTTAGCCTTAGATGTGGCGGGTCAGGAATAATTCTTCTTGCCCGATCACCTTCATCCAGAGAGGGGCAGGTTTGAGAAACATGTTAATGAACTTACTATTGAGCGAGATATATACTCGGAGGAGATCCAGGGTGTTTCAAATTTGTTTCTAGTCATAGAAGCAGTTTTGGAACCCTTTGGGTATCTTGGACCTCTAGTTGAAAAGGTGAAACAACTCGTTAAGGGAACGACTGAGAAGGGTGATGCTTTAGAAGAAGTGATACAGTCCTTGGAACTTTCTAGGAAAATGATAAAGGAGTTGGATAAATCCTTGAAAGAGTCTCAAAAGAATCAGAAGAAAGCTGAGGCTGACCTCACTGCAATGTACGGAGAAAATCTTTCGCTCTGTAAAGGGTTGCTCAAATCTTTGAAGGATGGTTTTTCTGTGGTTCAGGATGCCTTTGAGAATTATATGAAGTAGATGTAATACTTCTATCTGAATGGGCCTATTTCTTGATACCGAGTTCGTCTTAACCAACTCATCGAGGATGGGCAGGTGGCTTTGGAATACTTTTATATTATATATTTTTTAGCTAGTTTTTTTGGTGCCGACATGCTTGTATCCAGTTTGCAGGTGGCTTTGGAACTTCTATCTTGTAATGTACATATGTAAATATATCTCTACTTTTGTTTATCATTTATTTGAATTGCACATGCCTTGTTGTTTTGTTCCCTACTTTTGATAATGTCAAAGGGAAGAAAAATATACTATCAAGAGGAGTAGGTTATACTCTTTATATTTGTCAGACAAGTTTAACCACTCCAATTCGCTATTTGTTTCTCTATTTTATCTACCTCTCTGAGAGATTTGTTTTTTTACTAAGGGAAAACTATTGAATAAAAAAGAAAAAACAAAAAGAAAGGGGGGACATAAAACCCAACTCATCAAACATATAGAAAAAATGATAATTGGACAATGCCTAATCTATCTCTAAAAAAACTTTCAAATGCACAAATAGGAAGTGAATCTCTAAGGGATGCGTTGTCATCATCAAAATCATGGAGAATATGGATCTATGTTCTTACAGGTACAATATCTGCATCAACCTGATGATCACAATGGTTTTGATTATGACTACACTATGATGTAAAGTCTTAATTTAAAGGGATGATAAAGATGTTATATCAAGATCAAGATATTTGTGAGATCAATGTGTCAAAGTCAAACTCTATAAGTACAACACCTAATGTCAAGCAATGTTTGGTGGAATCCTTGACGATCTATGATAAAGAAATCTCTAATGATGGTGTTTATCAAGAAGCTATATATCAAACCTCATCAGTTGGAAGAAGTCAAGTCCCAAATAAAAAGTTGAATCAATGATGAATTCAACAAGGGATCTTGAAACTTTAAATATTGTGAAATAGAGGGTGTGTGTGAAAGCTCTCTTAATCCACGTCTGAGTGATCAGAAGCTTTAAAAATAATGTTCATCAGAACTGTTGTCTTAGAAGCATTCTAAGCAATGACGCACACACTTGTATCTCTTAGCGTGTTGAGTCCAGAATTTGACGATGTCACACAACAAATCTTCAGAGTCAAAGTCTATTAGCAAAAGCTACACACTAAATAAACCATTAGGATACTAAATTGTTATCTAATCACCCATGTAATGTTATCATCAAAACTCAAGGCCATATGTAGAACCAATTCTTGTTCTTACAATCTCCCCCTTTTTGATGATGACAAAACCATGTATTTTGATAAACAATTTATACTAGTTTAATCACATAAAATAATTCAGAGTTAAGCTAAACAGATCCCTCTGGGATCTATATTCCTAGATCTTATTTAATCTTGTTCAGAGTCTCCCCCTGAGTTGAAGACTTAAAGATGTTTTGAGAAATAGTATGAATCAATCAGTATGAATGAATACTTACCTGATTGAATACCCATTAAGAGCCTGACTAACGATGTAGAAATTTTCATCTCAGATTCTGGCTTGCTATCAGAACATGGTGGTGCAATAGAGTCTGGTTGTACTTGTCATACATTCAGAGTCTGGTTGAAATTCCTTTTAACAAAGGATAAATAACCCATGAATTTTGATTCTCTATATTTTGAATCTCTTTCAGAACTTTAGAGTTTTCCCGTTAAAAAAATTCAATGAATTTTCTCAAAGTTCCTGAGTCAAACAATGTTAGTGGCAAAAACATCAGAACACGTTTGGGAATAAGATTATGAGAATAGATATATCAAAATCATTACTTTCTCCCCATCTGTCATAAAACAAAAATATTTAAGGAGACAAAATAAAATTTTCATTAACCAAAGACCAAAGTACAAAAAGTTTTAGAAACATAGAAAAACATCTAGAGTTCTAAAAACAAAGGTAAACAAAAAGTTCTAAGGTTTTAGAGGAGGAGGAGACAGAATCCTATCCAAGAAGTCCTTCATCATGTTGGCAAGAAAAGTGATAGAAGCACTATGCTCCTTAGATATTTTATCTTACTTGTGTAGACGTGCTTGAATGATATCATTTGACTTCTTCAGCTTATCAAGAGTCTCCTTCAGCCCAAAAAGGGTATATTCACCAGCAATAATCTTCACAACCCCAGAAGGGGTACTATCTTTAGCAATAGACTTCTCAGAATCAACCAATGCAGAAGTAGCAACATCTGAAGATTAAACATCCATACTAGAAGCATCATTTGCTTCTAGAATCACTACTTCCAGAGTAGACAAGCTGAGAGGAATATGAGGAGGTTCTTAATCAACAAGCATAGTCTCATGCTTCTTCCTTGCTTCCTGGGTATAAAAGACTTCAATGATGTTTGAATTAACAATCATCCATCTTCTGAAACTGGACCAGATAGCAGTAGTCTGTTCAGGATCTGTGCTGCAAGAAGTGCTTTCAACAACATACTGAAGAGTATCCTGAGAACATCATTCAAAAGAATGAATCAACTCGTCCAAGGGTGTTGGACAAGTATATTTTTTATTGTAAAAATATGGGGGTGGTTCACAATAAGGCCTATAATCTCTATCAGACAAATCATAAAAACTCATATCAGCTTCTTCAGACACAAAGTCTTTAAAGGCATCATCTTGAGCTTCAGTGTTCTGAGGTTTAGGTTGGTTGGAAGATGAAGGAAGACTTTGTTAAAGAGAAGAGAGATCAATATCACATTCTCTGAGTTGTTGGATAAGTATATTGGGTAATTGTTTTGGATCAGCCAATTTGGTTGAGGTAGTGAGAGATTCAGAAAAGATGGTATATGATGGTTAAGGGAGAGTTATGGTGAGTTAAGGTGAAAGGTGTTGTGACGATAGTTTGGGAGTTTTGGTAACTAAAGTAGTGACTTCATAAGGGTTTTGATGTTTAGGATCAAAAGTGGCAACTTTTGAAACATTTGGATTCTTTGGTGGGGGAGCAGCCACTGTTTCGAAATTGGAAACATAAGGTGGAAAGGGTGGATGAGAGGATGAAATTGACACATTCTTAACAACAGTGTTCTCAAAGAAGACACACTCTAGAAGATCAACTTCAAAAACACCTTGAGTAGAAGCAATAGCTTCAACCTTTTGGGTTCTAGAGGACTCAAATGTTCTGGCGACCTTGGAAGGTCTAGAACCATCAGATCTAGCTGGAATCTCCAGAGATATTTTGCTGATCTTTTTCAAGGTTCCAGAAGACCCTTCAGTAGAAAATTTCTTAGAAATCTTCCTCTTCTTCTTAGATGGAGAAGCATAAATATCAACACAACAAGCTTCTTGATTAATCACATAAGATCTACCATGATTGTACACAAGAAAAGTTATCACCGTTGTTCTTTTGTCAACAACCTCATCAGTGTCAAGTTAAACCGGAAGCACAAGAACCTTATAAATTACATACATATTCTTAAGGGACTTCCCATTCAAAGAAGGTCCAATAAGGACTTCAACATCCTCTTGAAGATTCAGAGATTCAACAAGTCCACTTTCCACCAGGATATACAAAATGAGTCTTCCCATAGAAATACACTTTTTAGGATTCTTCTTATTATCATGAGTCTCAAGGATGTTTTTCTTCAAATGATAGAACAACATAACAAGAAAGTTTATCTTTCTATTAGTAGCGATAGCCGACAACAGATGCTTCTGATCATTTTTGATGTAATCATAGGAATTTATGGAGAAATGATGATTGAAGCTACCAAGAAAAATCTTAAAATATACCCTAAGGTTGTCGAGAAGATTATTAGGGTGATGGCTATTAGTGTTTTCCTTGAATATATTTTCCGTTATTCAAGATTTCTTAACAGAATCATAAAACATGTTGATGTACCTTTTTCCAGAGCCATCATGGTTGATGAGAGTAGTAATATCTTCTTCACCAATGAGGATGTTTTTTCCTCCGAATTTAGAGCATATATGACCACTAGTGGATACATAAGCATGTATCTAGAAATCTTGACCAAATCAATGTAGACTGGTCCCCTTAGACGATCAAAGTAAAATCCCCAACCTTGAAAGTCCATAACTTCATAAAGATCAACACCGTTTGCAGCAAATTTTTTAAAGTCCACTATAAATTCAGCAAGATCAAACAGTTGAGATAGAGAAATAGAACAATGAAGACCAGGATTGGAAACACATTGTTGTTGTTGTAGTAGAGAAAACTAAGAACCTTCGGCAGTTTGTTGAGCAGACAATTATTGTTATTGAGAATCCATTGCTGAACCATGAGCAAGAATCGAAAGGGTTTTAGGGTTTAAAATAACTATGCTTGAAAGAGAGAAAGTGTGGGATAGTGGTAGCAAAAGTGTGTAAATTGGGAGTGAATGGGTTTTAAATAGAGTTTTTGCAATGATTAATTTTTTTTAAAAGTGAAAAAATTCTAACAAGGGGTAAAACATGAAGATTTATTACCTAATCCCAATAAGATCTCTTCTTCAAATATGTCACATCAAGTGCTAGGTGTGCTTCAGAAGATACAACTTTCTTATTTCGAATCACAAACCTTTCACTATCCTGACAACTCATTAATGAAGTAAACTCTTCAATTTCCAAAGGACAGAAGCATTCTAGCGAGAAGATTTTGACCTTGGACACTTCTGATATATGAGAAATTCACTCATTAGAACCTCACATCTCAGAAGCAAACAAAAACAATCAAGCCTCAGAGTCTAATTTTCCATTATTAAAACCCAATATTCTGAGACTGCATCTTTTTCAGTCTGGACACGAAACCATTTTTAAATGTTTCAGAATGAAAATGAACCTATCTTCAGCAAGGGGTTTTGTAAAGATATCATCCCATTGATGGTCTGTATATATGAATTTTAAGGATTAAATTCCCTTATGAACACAGTCTCTTATAAAGTGATGCTTAATCTCAATATGCTTAGCCCTAGCATGTAAAATTGGATTCTTGGACAAACAAATAGCCAAATTATTGTCACAAAAGATAGGAATATTACTCTCATATATATGATA